TCGCGCGTCAGGAACATAAAATAATCGTAATAAAGATTATTTTCCATGTACAGTACATGTTAAAAAAGTTTGTGCCATTTCAATTCTGCACTTTAATTTCGATGGTTGTATTACAAATTTATCATAGGTTCGGAAAAAAAATTTCCAAAGCTAGAAATTGTTATTAATGCACCATAAAATTACGGTACTTTTACTTGCAGAAAATTATTAATTTTTAATAACGGCATTCACTTTATATTATTTGATACGTATGATATTCATGTTTAATTAAACTTTATGGGGTTTTGACAAAAAACGAAGAATTACATCATATAAAGAAGCGGTTTATTTATATTTTCATTAATTTGTTTATATTATTGTTTTCTTTATTCTGTATGACTAGGATCATATAAGGAATAAGCAATTAAAGAAATGAAGGATTTAATCTAAATTGTAACATAATTAAAATGCTAATTCGTTAATAATTGCATATACTTTAATATAATTTTATCTAATTAAAGGAGTGATTGATTTCTTTGTAAAAGTGACTGAAGCATTATTAACTTTAACCTAAATAAAATATTTACTTGCTTTCATAATCTCTCTTAAAACTAATTTAATAAACAGCTATCCGTTGGGTTTCAAGGATTAATTTTATTAATTTTTCTAAAAATGTAAATAAATTTGAAATGTAAAATTTACTAAAATCACGTGATAATCCCAAAATTCGGCTCAAGAAACTCAAAAAAAAACCAGTTGATGATCATGCGATGCGATTAATTTTTTGTTTTCTACTTTCGGAAAAAAGATTGTTATTTTTTGGTGCAACTGCAACACGCTTGATTATATCATTATTGCAGGTAGCATGCATTATTAACCTTGCATAGTTTCACTAAAGTTCACATGAATCGCGAATGGGACGCTTTTTTTTTTCTTTTTTTTTTTTTTTTTTTTTTGGTCAAATTGCAAAACGGCGTTAACATAAATAATAAATAATAACAAAAATAATAAATAAATAAAAAATATATAAATTTTATAATATACAGAATTTACAATCTAATTGTGTTCCATCTTAAAAATTTTTCATGTCTTATTACATAATCATGATTAAATAAATGAATTCTCTAGAATGCTTAAATGAATGTATTACTTTAAGGTTTTGTCAAGGTGGTTGGCGTAATTGGTAATTGAAAGTATTTCCATTTATAATCTATTGACCATAACTTCTTCATTATCAAATGACCTATTCAAATCCATAATCTTATCATTATTTTCTGGAGTTAGAAGGACCATTTGTTCCTGATTTTTATGTTTCACGTATGCAATTGCAAAACACGTAACAAAAATAATAACTCCGGATACTATTCCTATGACTGAACCAATTATAACACTACTTTTTAATTTATCTAGTTTGTGTTCTGCATGAGATTCATTGGATGTCGCTGAACTGCCTTTAGATGTCTCATCATTACCAAGAGCCTTGTTTTTCGTCACTCCTTTGGATGATTCATCCTTCTTAGGTTCTTCGTTAGGTGTTGATGTTGGTTCATCCTTGGGCGTTTGTGGTGAGGACGGTGATGGTTCGTCTTCTTTAGGTACTTCCTTAGGTTGTGGTGTTTCATAATTTTTTGGTTCTTCTTTGGGTGGTGGTAATGGCGTTTTAGGATCTTCTTTAGGTGGTTCTTTAGGTGTTTCTTGGAGCGCTTCATTCTTGGGCGTATTTGAACAAGTTGTTACTTCATTCTCTATGCATTTTGGTTCATCTGTTTCAGGGGTTTGTTCTAAGATCACTTCCCTATCCCAAATTATGTTACCCCTTCGATGATTTTTAAATTTTGTTGGATTTATTGTATGAGCATATGTTTCAATATGCATAATTTGAATTGATACGAATAAAGTTATTATTAAAATTAAAATTTTCATAATGATAAAGAATAAAAATAATTGAAATAAAGTTATAAAAAATTTTTTTTTTTCCTTCCCTTTTTTATTAGGGTTATTATAAATATATATATATTTTTTTTTTTTTTTTTTTTTTTTTTTTTTTTGACAATTAAACCGATTTGGTCGATCAACTTATTTATTTTGACACGTCATAGATAGAGACCTTTGTTTTTTTTTGCTTTGTTTTATTTGCTTTTATTCAATTTGAAAGTATAATCATATAATTTAAATATATGAAAGTCAGTCAATAAGTTTTCGACCAAAGAAAAAAAAAAGGAAATAAAAATAGATGATTTTTTTTATGACGTTCATGAGTTTATGACTCATTGTAATGCAAAAGTCTTTTTCATTCTTGAATAAATGTGTCAAGGTCAATTCCAATGATCATGTTTCTATTTTTGAATTTTTTTTTTTCTTTTTTTTTTTAAAAAAAGAGTCCAAATAAAATAATAAACACATGGTGAAACATACTCCCTAGTTACACCGTGAATTCCGAGCGAATCACCCAAAAATTAAAAAGTCCCAAGAATCTTGTGAAAAAAAAAAAAAATATTTAGAAAGTATACAATTGAATAACATTCGATTATATTTTTGACCTATTCTTAGAAGATTTACATTGGGTCTTTGGTGTCACTCTCACCTATTATTAGAGATATTTGAAATTTTTTTTAGGTTAAATATAAATTCCTGCAATGAATCGTTAATTAATCATGTGGACATGGACTCTCCAATTTCCGATATATTACTTACACAGTGTTTATGTCATTTGATTTTATCGTTTAGATGGTGTTGGCACTACACAAAGGACACTTGTCGACTTAAAAATTATTACCTTTATCTCATACAACCAAGCGAATACGAATTCCGTCTATTATTATTACCTTAGCTACATTGTGTTGCTAAATAAAATTGAATTTCATCATATAACTTCTCTAATTATTCCTCTTGAGGAAAATAAGTGAATATATTGAGTTATTGTGTGATTTTGCTCCCTTATTCCATTATGATGTAACGTTGTGATATCACTTAATCCGATTCTTTCTCAATTCAACTTCATCCGTCGCTGGCAAGGACCCATTTCAAAGAATTCGCGAATATTAATAATAATTTACCTTTCGGATAAAGCGTTCAAGTGACTGATTTCTTTTAGGCATATTTCATCAATCTTTTGAAATGTTATACGAGTTTAGGTTAGGAGGTGAGAAATGTTTTCCATTCAAAAAATTATTTAAAAAAAAAAAAAAATGGTTCGAGAACATCAAGAAAAATGAAATTTCTTGGTGTGTAAGTAATTAATTACATCATGATTTTCTGGGTCATGTAGCTTTCCAGAAAAATTAACTATTATAAAAATAATATTTTATTGCCCCCTCCTTCATATTTACATTAAGGTGGGAAAAATAAACAACCGATTAATTTCTGACAGATGCCGATCAAAGCCCGTTTGGATTACCCTTCAATAAAATATAAATAAAACAAATAAATACAAGAAAATAGTCATTCAGCAAGAAGTGACGTTGGGAAGTCTAATATAATTGGTCGACTCTGAGGCTCCATTAATCTAATTACTCGTTATTCCATGGATAACCAATTCTATGATACAACGTAAAGAATACTTTTCGCTTCTTTTCTTTCCTTTTATATTAACCCTTGTTTTAAAAATAAATTGTACTTTAATAATGTCTATTCCATAGGATGAAGAGTTTACAACTTTCAAGATTTCAAAAATTACCCTCGAACATTTGCAAGATTCTAGATGATTAATCGATATTAAGGAAGTAAAGTAGGTTTATGACAAGATCTTTATGTTGAAAAATTATAAAGAATTCGTATATTGTAACTATCTATCATTTTTGCAAATTAGATGAGAAACGACAACCTTTTAATAATATTTTTAATTCAATTGTAAGAAAAGGTCTGAACGGAATTATCCCGGCTGCTTCACAACCTTTGAATTAAAAAATAAATCCGTGTGTTCCATAATAATAGAGCCATTTGGATTGTTTTCTTAGATCGAATTAATTTGGCCGGAATTAAGCTTTTGGAATTTGTTAATTCTTGCCAAATTTTAATGCCGGCGGCCAGGATCAAATATGACCCGTTTTATACTTTTTCTTGACATTGATCCAAAGATTCTGACGAGCCACAGCATCGGATCAATTATAAATAAATAATTATCGCACGTTTTCTGGACATTCATTTTTTTATAGGTCAGGTTATTCTAAATTTGTTGTTTTTATTTAACAAATTTTTGACGAGATCTCAATTAAATAAAAATTAAAAAAAAAAAATTGATTTATTTTTTACGTGATATGAATATTTTCTTTTATTGAATAAGCTAACAGAGTTAATTACTTAAATATCTAATTTACAATTCGAGAATTATATCTTAATAGAATCATCTAAAAAAAACGCGACCGATCAACTCTGAAATTATTTTGCATGCCGGTTATGCTGTCAAATACTTTCTGATATCAATTGATTGCCCCTTGACCTTTTAAAATCTCATGATTGACCTGCCCCAGAAGCAGAACCACCAACAATTCCTCCGTGCACTAATTTTTATTATCAATCATTTCAATTAGAAGATTTGATTTGAATGTTACCAAATAAAATTAGCTTTGTAAATTGATTTGTTTACCTCAATAAATTAGAAATCATCATCGTCAAGGTGCAAAAAATGTGATTTTTGAAGCTTGAGGAAAGTTTTCTAAGCACTAATCTGTCCAACATCACAAGCTTATTGTATTTCTAAACTTCAATTATCTTCCATCATCTAAAACTTAAATGATTCCTTCGAGCTTATTTAAGGAAAGCTTTTTATTTAATATATATATAATATAATATATAGGATTTAATAAATACAGAATCTTTTCTTATAGAACATTCGAAACGATTATTTTGATCATAAATATTAATGATAGATTAAAATGTGAATGAATAGGTGGAATAGTAATAATGTAATTATATCCAACGATTATAATGTAAACAGTAAATATAAAAAAATGAATTCAAGAAAAAATTGATCCTAAAAAAAAAAAACTTTAAACATAAAATAAGAAAATTTCACCAACCAATCAACCAATCTTAGACTTTAAACTACTAAAGATCTCAAATTTTTTTGATCTCCTATTATTTTTATTATTTTTTTGATCCGGGTTATTGTTGGAATTCAATTGTTTCGTAATAGCTATCCTTTCCAATTTAAATATTTCCCATGAAAAGAACTTTCCGGAACCATCTTCTTTAAAACCCATGGAGGATTTGAACGCCTCTATAAATGAGTGATAGAATCTATTTTTATCGTTATTCCGAATAATTTTGGGCTCATAGGTATCATCATCGATTTTAATAGAAAACAGAAAATTCTTTGTTCCAGTTGAATCACTCCAATCATTCTCATAAATATACCCTCCTAACCTATAATTAGATTGCTTCAAACCACCTGATATGCCATGTAACTTCCCTCGATCACCTGGATCACATATCAGAATAAAAGAATCATTACTATCCGGTCCAGTTTTCTTCATGAGATCATCAATAGAACAACTACCAGGACTACATGTTCGATATACCAATTGAAAATTATATGGAATATTTTTAATGTAAGCAGCGGTTTCATGCTTTTCATCTATCCAATTTGCAAGTGTAAGAAAATGCTTTTGCTCAAGTAATTTAGAATCAATATCATCACTCACATTCTTTGCAAATCTTGACGTTAATGTTTTAAACTTTGGTGCATGCCCAGGTACCATATGGTACTGAATAATGTCTTCCTGCAATTCCTTGGGTAAAAACCTTTCAAAAGGTTTTACCTTTTTAAAATAATCTTCGGAAGAAATTTCGTAAAACCTAATGAAGGGGATGAGATTATGAATGTATCTTTCCAACTCGACGAAATCTTTTTGAGTCCATTCATCAACATTATCATTAAGTTGCCTTGAAATTTGTTTGACACCCCATTTAACTAAATTTTCCCAAATTTCAATCTCAATCAGATTAAGATCATCCCGCTTAAGAATAATTTCTAATAGAGGAGCGGGTAATTGAGTAAAATTATCAGAGAGGAAAATGAGTTCCGGTTCATAACAGATTGCCTCTATACAAATTTCCTGTAAATCTTTAAAGGTAAACATGCTAAATAAAATACTCTGAAGGGTTTCCACGGGATACTTCCTTAAATATTCAGAATGGTTTTCTATAAGATATTTTTCAATGAATTTAGTTAGGGAGTTTAAACAAAATTGTTGAGAGATGAACAAAATATTTAATATTTCGATTCCCTCCTTATCGGTCAGGTCAATATTTCCGGTATAGATATAACTATTCAATAAAGGGATTAATACCAGTTCAAGTTCTAAAAGAGTTCTCGAACAATCAAAAGTATAAAGGTAACTTACGTTATAATGGATTGAAACGTATTTACACTAATGCCTGGAAACCTAATGATAGATATCCCATCCCTTTTCTCAACTTTATAGGATGAAAATAACGATTGAAAATATGATGACCTACTATAAAGGACAACAGAGTGAGCATGAAATTCTTTGTGGTCTGCACCATTTCCTACATCGATTATGACATTAT